CTTCAAGTTCACTAACCTTTGGCACTCGGTAGTAACTTCTTGTAGTGTTATGTTTGGACACTTCAATTTTACTCAAAATTCTGGTTCTGTTATCAGCATCTTCGGAAGATTGAAGGCTACACACGAATACGAGACATTTAAACTGATCTTCTGTCATAGTCGATAATTTGAAGCGTTCACACTCACGATTTACTAAACCTGCGTGCTTCACCCAGTCATCATCATCTGCTTTCGTTATCTTCAGACATTGATAACGAATATTGAATAAAGACGACTGTTCAGCAAAGATTTGTGACAAATTCTCAATGGTTTCATCAAAAGTAAAATCTCTTGGGTTCTTTGGAAGAATGAAATTACTATAGCGTTCATGTTCAACTGTGCCAAGTTTTCTTAAGAGTATTCTGACCTTGGCGGCGTCATCAAGTTTTCTGAGGTCGACCTTGAATAAATCTTCGTATCTCTTGAACCAGGTTTCGAAAGTAATACCAGTCGAACCATCGAAATTAAACTCATGGATAGAATTAATAATATGGTCGCCATTAGATTTGGAAGCATCATCTGTAGCACCAGCTTGACTTAGTTTCAATTTCTGCATTAAAGTCTCTATGATACGAACCTGGAACTGCTCAAATCGTTTTTCTTGACGCTCCAGCAAGGCTTCAAATTGTTCAAAGGTAAATGACATCTTGATAAGCTAACCCCGTCGCCAGTGATATGTCTTGTAGGTTGAACGCTTTATTCGGATCCTAAGCTATTCCGATAACCCCAGGACTGGCACTACTCAGCAACTTGAAGACCAGAGAGAAGACACGGGTATCAGAGAAAACCTTTACTGCAAGGATCATCTTTGTACAGAAAATCGTAGGTATTTATAGATGTTTGCTTAAGTTAAATCAACATCCTAATTCAGCCAATCCAATTAACGACATAAATTGCTACTGACCAATGGTAGCATGCCACGTTGGAACTCCAGAATGTTCTGTCGTACTCTGATTGGTTGGGACTCTTTTTGAGCCTCTGTCGGAGTTCGCTGGAAGCTGACTTAACAGATACACAAGTTGGGAATAAAAGGGAGTGAATAAGCGACATGGTAAATAATAATAATGTAAATTGTCTGGCATTTAGTGAGAGCGTGAATAGGATTGTCAGTAGGACTGCCCGGGTGCCCAGACTGAAGCAGGTGGTTATCTTAGGTGGACACACCCCGAGCCTTTGACCTAAAGGCCTAACCCACAAGGCAGTGTAGCGTCGTGAGGAGATGCAGTCTCATGGTAGCCGGTGACCAACAATTGGTTCATACGTCATTTGTTCCCTTGAGATACTTGAGTCCATGTGCACCATAGGTTTGGAATCAGGGTTTTCTAACACCCCTTGGGTGAACTCTCCGTGTCCACTGGCCCGGTTAAAGCGCTGGACATTCACTTTTCGTCCTCTCACTTTCGTAAACAACAGTAATGCCACGAGAAGGCAGTGAGTAGAACTTCCCTGACAGGCTATATACGCGCGGCCATGTGAGAGCATTTCGAGAGGGAGGGTGGCAGCGCACCACTCTCGGCCGTACCAGGGCATTCGGGGGCTATAGCTGATATTCGCCTATCAAATAAGAAAAAGAGAATTCAGCGAAGAAAATTTTCTTTTCGACGAAATCATTTACTTAAGCTGTACATTCGTATATATAGTGATATGGAAAATATGTCTATAGGAGGCTAGAAATTATTGCATTATAAATTGATCCGACAATAAATAACAAATGAGGTGACGTACTAATCAAGGGGTAAGGAAGAAAATAATTTATGGGTCAGATAATAGTTCAATTGACAGATATGAAGAAAAGCGACAAACACAAAGGTCATAATAATAATAATCCGAGTAATAATCAAGAAAACTTGTATAAGGTAATAATAATAATAACTGATTAGAGTTTAAATGTAAAGTAGTAGTTTAAAAAACAAAAAACCGATAATAATCAGATAAAAGTGCAGAAAAAAAACAAAACACAAAAAAACGTACCCAATGAGGGAATTAGGGCCAAGGAAGGGTAAGAGGTTGGACAAATCGTTTCTCCACGCAAAGTTCAGGCTTGAATTCATGGATTGCCAATGTCTCAGCAGTGCATAAAATATTGATTCGACCTCTTTTTGGTCCGGTTCCTTTAACTCTATAGATTATTTTAAAAGACGTGTCTTTTGGAGCAATGTGTCCACAATTGATCAAATGCTCTTGTATCGAACTGGTTATCTTTTTACATTCACCTTTTAGGAGCCATGCTGGATAGTGTTCAGAGATACGTGTGGAAAGCGATCGCTTTGTGCGGCCTATGTAACGTGCTCCACATGAGCAAGTAAATTTATAAATACACATCGATGTGGCCCAAAGCGAAAGTTTATCCTTAACAACCCCCCGAATGGTAGGCCGGCTAGAGAAAACCATTCGAAGCTTGGCTGTGTAGAAAGTTTTATTCATCGTTTTTGAAATCCGTTTATTCAGGATTTCAGCAGCCGTGTCTCCCTTGAATTCCATACTCATAAACAAGGTTTTCTTCTGCACTGTGATTTCTTGCTGACGTCTAGATGTTAAGTTGCTATCGACGAACCTCGGTGGATAACCGTTTTTGATGAGGGTCTGTCGAAGATGAAGTAGTTCTTCATTTATTGTGTCACTAGAACAGATTCGCTTAATCCTAGATGATAAAGAGTGAATTAAGTTCCTCTTTCGACTCAGTGGAACCCAACTATGGAAATTCGTGTATTGTCCATTCCAAGTGGGTTTTGTATATATAGATCTTTGTAAATAACCATCAGGCAATCTTTTCAAAATGACATCAAGAAAATGGAATTCATGGTTCGATTCTGCCTCTAAGGTAAATTGAATTGAAGGGTGACAGTTATTGAAAATATTTCATTATGGTCCATGTCATCATCACAAATAATGAAAGTATCATCCATATCTCTTATATAAATGAAATTTCTCGATTATTGGACGAAGTGCTGAATTTTCTAAATTGGCCATGAAACAATCAGCCAAAAGAGGACCCAATAGGGAGCCCATTGCAACTCCATCTGTTTGTCTATAGAAACCATCATTAAATTTAAATTGTACGTTGAGCGTGCATCGTAGGAGTAGTTCTTTAAGATAGTGTTTTGGGATACATATCTCCAGATTACTATTTTCAATATAGTCACATAAAAAAATAGTTTCTGTGAGAGGAACATTTGTAAACAACGAAGTGACATCTAATGAGAGCATTTTCTTACCCATTACGTTGATATTTCTGATTGAGTCGACAAATTCAAAGGAATCAAGAGCATTGTATTTTTTGATATGATTTTTAACAGGTTGTAAAATGTCAACTAACCATTTAGCAATAGAGTGATATGGAGAGTTGTTCATATCAAGTATTGGACGTAAAGGGACATTATTCTTATGAACTTTTGGGAGTCCATATAGTCTAGGTACGACAGAACCCGAATCAATTTATAATGCAATCTTTTCTAGCCTCCTGTAGACATATATTTTCCATATCACTATATATACGAATGTACAGCTTAAGTAAATGATTTCGTCGAAAAGAAAATTTTCTTCGCTGAATTCTCTTTTTCTTATTCAATGACATTATGACTTATTTTAGTTATTCGCCTATCAAATAAAGGACGAGTATACTGTGCAGCAGTTCGCTCTGTTCTACTTTACGGCTGCGAAACGTGGCCATTAATAGTAGAAGATACTCATAAGCTACTAGTATTTGGCCACAAATGCCCCAGAAATATTGCTCGCATCTGCTGGGATCACCGGGTAAGTAATAGTGAGGTTAGACGCAAGGTATTAGGGAATGGTTGTAAGTCAGTTGATGAGGTGATGAATCTTCATCGACTGAGATGGTTGGGCCACGTGTTATGTATGCCTGAACACCGATTACCACGACGTGCTATGCTGACTAGTATTGGGAATGGTTGGAAGAGAGTTAGGGGCGGCCAAACCAAAACATGGCATCAGTGCTTGAAGTCACTAACTTCTAGTCTGAGCCATGTCGGTAGATGCAGACTACTTGGTTGGGGTCCGCGTGACTATCGTAACCAATGGTTTTAGAGTCTGTGTGCAATGGCACAGGTGTATACACTCTTTGTCTTCCCTTAAGTCGTGAGATAAAAATTGCTTCATATCTGTCTTTCTTCCTGTACTATACCCTTATATACAATCTTTCTTTTATATTACCACCACTAAATTAGCTACTTCTGTAAATTTGGTGTTGATCTTGTTGTGCTAACGAGGTATGACAACTTGGACCGACGCATATGTGTGTCTGGTCCTACGTTGTTGCTGGTGTAGTTCGGAACGTTCTTGGAGAGTGCTGATTCTTACACTCAATTTAACTCACCAAGCAATAGTTTATATACTGGGATTCGGGCCTGAGTTTTTTTTATCACACATAATGATATATTTTCTAGCCTTATAGATCAACGTATTTTGTAGGATGTTAAAGGCCGATCGCTTTAACTACTAAACCACTTCTCCTTACCATTCATAATGTAATATGTGAAGTTCCACATGAAACCAATTAATTATTCCTGGGCTTGTCTAAGTAGGTAACTTTACTCGGTACCATTATGTCTTGCAACTGGACTAAATGTTAGTATCATTTATATTGTATAGCATTCCCTTGCTGTTTTTTAGACCTGCGTATGCCTCTACAATCCTGGTACCTAGATCGTTTTTGTAGTTTAATTTTCCAATATCCGAAATCAGTCGTGCCTTAATGACACAAACTCCACCATATGGGTATCTCATGGTTGTTATATCTGAAATAATTAGTAGCTTCTCTCAGTATTCCTTCTATTCTGCGTCATCAACTTCTGAACCGAACAGATAACTATAAGTTAGATAAAAACCTTTAAGGTGAGTGTGGAACAACGGTTGATTATGTTAAAAAATTCAATTTTTAGATATGATTAGTCTGTTCGTTATTGTTTTACTTGTTATATGGTTTGTCACGTTTATTACAGGCCCTGTAAAGAACTTTTCTGGGACATTATGTCAGCTAACATATATCACGACCCTGGTCATCAAAAACAATAACTTGGAGCGATTGCCTGCAGAGCTTGGGAACTTAGTAAACCTTGTGAATTTGGACGCTAGCTGTAACAGACTTCATTCTCTTCCGTCGACTATCGGTGACCTTACAGAGTTGCGTGCACTTATTCTAAATGATAACAAAATAGTCAATTTACCGTCCGAAATAGGCAGACTGCTTAATTTACGCCATTTCAGTAAGTAACAAAATTTGCGCTGATTTAAAGAGAGCTGCTTTGTTCTTATGTTCTTACTTTAACATCAGTAAATATATAGATCAGTGTATAAAGAAATAATCGCTCTAGGTTTTTTGTTTTTACTTACCATTAAGCGGATTTCAAACTTTAGTCAGTCATATTTTGATTAGTGCTCCGTAAATTCCAGCTTCCACGATTTATTTGTTGGTCTCTTTCATGGCCAATCTTGAAGTCTAGTTAGGAAGAGTAATGCAAAGTTTATTCCGAAGTATTTATCAATATATGTTTTGTTGCTGAGGTATAAAATTGAAATAAAGCAATTTTCATGGTTTACCAATCGATTTATTGTAATCTCAGATTTGGGTATATCCAACAGTTATAACGTCAGTAACTTGGTTATTAAAGGGAGAATTCTGTACACCGTACATAATTTCCGTAACTTATCACTATATATGTACAAATTACGAATCTTGAGGTGACATAGAGAACCCCGTTGAATACTTGATGCTTCTTTAAAACAAGCTGATTTATTCCCAAGTGTTTCCGATGGCTGAATTTAGTTTTTGTGTGGTCAAACTATCACGTAAATGATCTTCAACACAAAAATTGTTTTGTCACCCCAATCCTCTACACAAATAAAACTATTTCTAGGGCTTTAACCAACTATAGTTTGGAAGGGATTGTTTAAGTATTCCTGTACATTAAAGCTTAGTATAGTAAATAAATCAGACGGATAGAAATGTCAAATATTTACCTCCTAATTTTATTGGTCTGCTAAACTCAGCTTGGTAGAGCATCAAAAAGATGATCAGTCATAATCACTGTAGAGCCTTGGAAAAGTATGCATCGGTTTAAGGTAGCATACCAATTTCAGTCAGTCAGTCACAACGTAGAACTTCGTACGTACGTACATCAGTTCGAGTTGCCATACCACATTAGCACAGAGATGAAGTTGTCGATTCAAATCCCATAGTGGTAGAAGTAGTAAGAGTATAAGCATTATGTCAAAGATTAGGGTTGGAAGAAGTTGTTGAAGGAGTATAATACAGTGAAATAAATTTGGAAGGAGAAAAAGATAAAGACATGAGGAATTCAGAAGATTAGAAGTTGGTAGAACACAAGGAGTGGATGCACCTTCGCCATTGCAAACGATTTTGAGCCATGTCATTCAAGGTCTCTAACCATCGATTGCTATCATCTCGCAGATCCCAACCAGGTAGTCTACACCTACCAACATGGCTCAGTCCACTTGTCAGTGACTTCATCGATTTGTGCCACGTTTTGGTCTGGCCGCCCCTAGCTTTCTTCCAACCTACTCCTACACCATGAAACATTGCACGTCGGGACAGTCGGTGGTTGGGCATACGTAACACATATCCCAGCCATCTCAACTGATGGGGTTTCACTACTTCATCAATCGACTTGCCATCCTTACCTAGTACCCGTTTCCTAACAACTGCATTATTTACCCGGTGGTCCCAGGATATACAAGCAGTTCTTCGAAGACATCTATGGTCGAATACTAGTAGCCTACGAATATTCCCTTCTCTTACCAGCCATCTTTTACTGCCATAAAGTAGGACGGGGCAAACTTCTGCGCAGTAAACTCGCCCTTTGGTTGCTAGACGGTTATCTCTCCTACGCTATAAATGACGCAAGTTGGTGAAAGCTAGACAAAGTAGACAAGTAGAGTTGGGCCCCCAAATGCCCTGGTACGGCCGAGAGTGGGGAGAGTCCGCTCTCCTCGAAATGCTCTCACATGGCCACGCGAATATATAGCCTCTGCCAGGGAAGTCCTACTCACTACCTTCTCGTGGCGGGGGTGTTGTTTACGAAAGTGAGAGGACGAAGAGCGAATGTCCGGAGCTTTAACCGGGTTGGTGGACATGGAAGGTCCACCTAGAGGAGTTGGAAAACCCTGACTCCAAACCAATGGTGCACATGGGCTCCAGGATCTTGATGGAACGAATGGCTATTGTCCTTTTTATTGACTGGCACAATCAGTGATTGGGATCAGTCACATGGAATTACGTCCAGTTCCCAGATATTACCTAAGACCTCAGTCAATCTCTCTGCTAATACGGGACCTCAACCCTTAAAAGTCTCCAGGATATACCTTTCAGGGCCTGCTGCTTTCACTCAATTTAGAATTCCTACAGCTTCTTCAACCTCGTAGAGAGTTGGAGGACTTATATCAATTTGCCATTCAGGACGACTGAGTATTGTGGGTAACTGAAGTGTGGCTGAAGGCCATTTGAACTGATCCCTAAAGTGTTCTGTCCATAGATCCAATCTCTTGGATTGAGAATGAATGATATGCTTATTTTTATCTGAGATGGTTTTACTGATAATTGGATTCCTAATACCGGTTTCTTTAACGCAGGTCCCAACTAGTTAGCCTGAACCTATCAATACAGCTAAGTTCAACAGGCATTTTTTATGGACTAATATCAACTCTTGATTTGGGCTCTCTAGCTTTCTTCCAACCTATTTCTATCGTAGATAAGATCAAATGTTGAGGTGGGTATTGTTCGATCGGTTGGTAGCTGACAACATCTTACCTCAGTGCAGTATATCCAAATTGATAGCAAACAGAATGTCAGAGTTTGATTTAAACCACGTACCAACCGTAATATAACCTTGAATTATTGTTTATTTGTAATTTTTACTTATTGTGTTTATCTGTAGAGTTATAAAATTGAAAAGTATGTTACAAGTGAAGACATTTTAAAATTAAAAAAGATAATACTAATACTCACCCGCTTCCTGACCTCACCGTTTAGTATCGATGTAGATCAGTTTTGGAACATTCTTTTACAACTAAATGCAAGGGTCATACTAAGCATTTTCAAATTTTGTTCAAGACCTTTCTTGCGGATAGCCTAGATTTTCGTTTAACAGTGTTATGTTCTCTACAAAGTGTCTGAGTTATAAAATCTCACGAACAACGTCCTGATTTTCTGTAGCTTAACAGTTCAACCTTCATATCTAAGATTGCTGAAAGAAGGTGGATACTGAAAAAAGCTGAACTTTCGGAACCACACAACAGAAGTTCATTCACCTATCGTGTTCTTGTTCTACACTGGGTATCGAGCAAGTGAGCGCATGAAGACGATATTTTGGATTTTAATACCTATATCGGTCGCGATCTCACTGTTACTGAGTTATTTATCAGGAAAAATTATTGACCCTATTCAGGAAATCTAGGCAAATAAATCAGCACTTATATCATAAAACACAACTGCTTTTATAATTACGACTCGATCACGCGGGTCTCAATCCAACACAACCATCTGTTTTCTTGTCATCCATTACAAAGATAAAGTTGATGCAAGTTGCAATCCTTATGTAGGCTTCAATTGTTAAGTGATTTTTGTTTGGGTGGTACATCATATTTTAAGTACCATGATTCTATTGACTCCCATGTGTTAATCTTAGCTTCATTCTTTATCGTCCGTAAATGTCAATTAAAAAAAATATTTTCGTCGTTGCCATTTTTCCTTACTGTTATGTGTTTACTTATCACTATTATTCTCTTTTGTTATCTTAAACGTGTATCGGTTATCTTTCGTGCATATCATTTTCCATTTAGATTTAAATGATAATCCATTGAGTGCTGAAGTTAGTTCAATGTATGGTGATGGTTCTGACTCGAATATCCGACGCATGATTCGCTATTATATGGATTATTTTTATCTTTACAGTTAGTTAACTAATTTTGTAACTAATTTCATTCTCATACTGCCAAACGCTATCTTATTATTATTTTTCTATTGCTGTACTTTTAATATTCTAAGCATAATCGCTGTTAGTATCGGTAAATACCATACTGTTTAAGAATGCGTGTTTACAGCAAGGTTTGACAGTAACAGAATGTAACTTAGCTATTGTTTAGACGAGATTGGGTTTGTGAATAGTTATTCTCTTTTGTCCCACCGTCTGATTCTTCTATCTCCCTCCTTTTCTTATACATGAATTTGGCTACTACTTCTGTATACTAAGTTACTATTAAAAGTCATTTCGAGAGATTTCCTCTGTTTATTGACTTTATATATATATAAAGCCTGTGTCCACTAAGTAGTCTATCCATGATCGTTAGAAGTACCGTTATCTGACAAATAGTGTCAGCTTACTAATCAGTTTGGCATTATATGCATCACGTGATTGAAACATAGCTAAACTGAGGTTGTTTATTATCTTGCTGGTTAACTCTGTATAAAGATTTCAGGTATAAGAGAGCTAACATAGACGCTTAAGAGCTGTTAAATTACCATCAACAGATGGGAAAACTATATTATATGAGCTCCTGTCAAGATTGTTATTTTATGCGTTGTTACAAATAACCTGTTCTATAGAATTTGTAACTTTTAATTAGTAGACGCTTTTTCATCATTTAAACGTGATAAAACAAAATATTAATTACAGGTTACAAGAGTGTTTTACCTGGAATCATTCCACGGCTGTTTATAACTACCTAACTTTTAGTGTGTATTTAAAACATATCAGTTAGTGATGGGAACTTTTCAGATTAGTTGTTTTCATCAATAAAACAGTAACTACAAGAATGATTAAATGAAATGGTTGAATTTCTGCTGTTGTGTTACATTGATAGATTCGTGTAAAACATCATAGCTTTTACCAGTGTCGTGTCGTAAGCTATTCCTAGGTTTTCCAAAAAATTTCTCCTGCATTTGTTTTTTATTTGAACGTCACTGAGCACTACCCTTTTCGTCCATCCTATATAACCTTATCGTGAGAACGTTAGTTTAACTGATCTGAATTGCTGTCTGTTTCATTTTCTCTTTTTGGTTGGATAGCATGACTTGTTCTAGATATTTGTTTATTGAAAGGTGGGACGGACAGATGCTTAACGTAGAAAAACAAACATAAGTCGACAGTTTCTCCCATCGTTCCATAGACTTTATTTTCATATAAAAATCGATTAATATTGCAGTTTTCAATTATTTATGGATCGCATTACGATACCGTTATTCTCTAAATCACGTAAATATTCCAGTGGGAAATCGCAAGCTTGTGGATGATGAATATTATAGTCCCCATTGTGGATACATATTTATTTTATGTGAACACATAAATATTGGTACAAACGGGCACCAGATATATATGCGCCACACAAAACAATGAGAATCGTAAGGGAAAAAGAGATTTAGTTGCAGCAGGATCGCCACGANNTATTGAAAGCCGAGTTCCTTCGGAAGTCATGAGGCCGATGCATCTTCTTACAACCAGAGCGACAATTTTTATAGGTACATGGAATGTCCGGACAATGTGGGAGACCGGCAGAGTCTTCCAAATTTCTGCGGAAATGAGGAAATACAACCTGGAAGTGCTTGGAATCAGTGAAACACATTGGACGCAGGTTGGACAACAACGACTGTCTTCAGGAGAACTTCTGTTATAGTCCGGTCATGAAGAAGAAAATGCCACACATACACAAGGAGTTGCATTGATGCTGTCCAGAAAAGCACAAAATGCACTTATTGGATGGGAATCTCATGGACCAAGGATCATCAAAGCCTCCTTCAAAACAAAGAGAGAGGGCATTACAATGAACGTCATCCAATGCTATGCGCCTACCAACGACTACAATGAAGACGCTAAAGACCAATTCTACGATAGGCTGCAGTCGATCTTCGAGAAGTGCCCAACCAAGGACCTGACAATTCTGGTGGGAGATTTCAATGCCAAGGTTGGAATGGACAACACTGGATACGAAGACGTCATGGGACAACATGGACTGGGAGAAAGGAACGAAAATGGTGAGAGATTTGCAAACCTATGTGCCTTCAATAAACTGGTCATAGGTGGCACCATATTCCCACACAAAAACATACACAAGGCCACTTGGATTTCACCGGATCACACTACACAGAATCAAATCGACCATATCTGCATCAACAAAAAGTTCAGGAGGACGATGGAGGATGTGAGAACCAGAAGAGGAGCTGATATAGCATCAGATCATCATTTGCTGGTCGCCAAGATGAAACTAAAACTCAAGAAGCACTGGACAACAGCGCGGACAACATCACAAAAGTTTAATACGGCCGTTCTTCGAGATGCTGACAAACTCAACAAATTCAACATAGCCCTCAGCAACAGGTTCGAGGCCCTTCATGATCTACTGAATGGAGAGAGGACTACCATGGAGAGCAACTGGAAAGGTATCAAGGAGGCAATCGTTTCAACATGTCAAGACGTTCTGGGCCACAAGATGCACCATCACAAGGAATGAATCACTGTTGGTACACTGGATAAAATTAAAGAAAGGAGGGACAAGAAAGCAGCAATCAATATCAGCCGAACCAGAGCGGAAAAAGCCAAGGCACAAGCCGAATACACAGGCCAACAAGCAAGTGAAGAGGAGCATCAGAACCGACAAACGTAAATATGTGGAAGATTTAGCGATGACAGCGGAAAAGGCTGCAAGAGAGGGAAACATGAGACAACTGTATGATACAACAAAGAAACTTGCTGGAAATTACCGTGAACCAGAACGACCAGTGAAAAACAAGGAAGGCAAAGTAATCAACGATATTGAAGAACAACGAAACAGGTGGGTAGAACACTTCAAAGAACTCTTGAATCGACCAGCTCCACTGTACCCACCCAACATCGAAGCAGCACCCACAGACCTCCCAATCGATGTTGGCCCACCAACAATTGAGGAGATCAGCATGGCCATTAGACAAATCAAGAGCGGAAAAGCAGCAGGACCAGACAACATCCCGGCAGAGGCACTGAAAGCAAATGTAGCAGCAACTGCCAAGATACTCCACATCCTCTTCAGTAAGATTTGGGACGAAGAACAAGTACCAATAGACTGGAAAAAAGGACTTCTGATCAAGATACCGAAGAAAGGCGATCTTAGCAAGTGCGACAACTACAGAGGCATCACTCTTCTCTCAATACCAGGAAAAGTCTTCAAAAGAGTATTGTTAAACAGGATAAAGAATTCCGTGGACGCCCAACTTCGAGATCAACAAGCTGGATTTCGTAAGGATAGATCATGCACAGATCAAATCGCAACTCTACGTATCATTGTGGAACAATCAATCGAATGGAACTCATCACTCTACATCAACTTCATCGACTACGAGAAGGCATTTGATAGCGTAGACAGGACGACACTATGGAGGCTTCTTCGACACTATGGCGTGCCTGAGAAGATAGTCAATATCATACGGAACTCCTATGATGGACTAAACTGCCAAATCGTCCACGGAGGACAACTCACCGACTCGTTTGAAGTAAAGACCGGTGTAAGGCAAGGCTGCTTACTCTCACCCTTTCTCTTTCTCCTGGTGATCGACTGGATCATGAAGACGTCAACGACTGGACATCACGGGATACAGTGGACAGGCAGGATGCAGCTTGACGATTTAGACTTCGCGGATGATCTGGCTCTTCTATCACAAACGCAACAACAAATGCAGAGGAAAACGACCAGTGTAGCAGAAGCCTCAGCAGCAGTAGGTCTCAATATAAACAAAGAGAAAAGCAAGACTCTCCGATACAATACAATATGCACCAATCAAATTACACTTGACGGAGAAGCTTTGGAGGATGTGGAAACTTTTACATATCTGGGCAGCATCATTGATGAACACGGTGGATCAGATGCAGATGTGAGGGCGTGGATCGGTAAAGCAAGAGCAGCATACTTACAACTGAAAAACATCTGGAACTCAAAACAATTGTCAACCAACACCAAGGTTAGAATTTTCAATACAAATGTGAAGACAGTTCTACTGTATGGGGCTGAAACCTGGAGAACTACGAAAGCCATTATCCAGAAGATACAAGTGATTATTAACAGCTGTCTACGCAAGATACTTCGGATCCGATGGCCAGACACTATCAGCAACAAGTTACTGTGGGAGACAACAAACCAGATTCCAGCAGAGGAAGAAATCAGGAAGAAGCGCTGGAAGTGGATTGGGCGCACCTTGAGGAAATCACCCAATTTCGTCACAAGACAAGCCCTCACATGGAATCCTGAAGGTCAAAGGTAAGTAAATAAGTAAGTAAGTAAGTAAGTAAGTAAGTAAGTAAGTAAGTAAGTAAGTAAGTAAGTAAGTAAGTAAGTAAGTAAGTAAGTAAGTAAGTAAGTAAGTAAGTAAGTAAGTAAGTAAGTAAGTAAGTAAGTAAGTAAGTAAGTAAGTAAGTAAGTAAGTAGGTAAGTAAGTAAGTAAGTAAGTAAGTAAGTAAGTAAGTAAGTAAGTAAGTAAGTAAGTAAGTAAGTAAGTAAGTAAGTAAGTAAGTAAGTAAGTAAGTAAGTAAGTAAGTAAGTAAGTAAGTAAGTAAGTAAGTAAGTAAGTAAGTAAGTAAGTAAGTAGGTAGGTAAGTAAGTAAGTAAGTAAGTAAGTAAGTAAGTAAGTAAGTAAGTAAGTAAGTAAGTAAGTAAGTAAGTAAGTAAGTAAGTAAGTAAGTAAGTAAGTAAGTAAGTAAGTAAGTAAGTAAGTAAGTAAGTAAGTAAGTAAGTAAGTAAGTAAGTAAGTAAGTAAGTAAGTAAGTAAGTAAGTAAGTAAGTAAGTAAGTAAGTAAGTAAGTAAGTAAGTAAGTAAGTAAGTAAGTAAGTAAGTAAGTAAGTAAGTAAGTAAGTAAGTAAGTAAGTAAGTAAGTAAGTAAGTAAGTAAGTAAGTAAGTAAGTAAGTAAGTAAGTAAGTAAGTAAGTAAGTAAGTAAGTAAGTAAGTAAGTAAGTAAGTAAGTAAGTAAGTAAGTAAGTAAGTAAGTAAGTAAGTAAGTAAGTAAGTAAGTAAGTAAGTAAGTAAGTAAGTAAGTAAGTAAGTAAGAAAGTAAGTAAGTAAGTAACTTATCGTTAACTAAATCAAAGAAGTTTCACAATTTTAATTTGGAAAAAAATCACTGCAATAACAAAAACCTAGGAAATTGATAAGTTTAATAGAATACTGTTTAACATACACGCTGAAGAACGGTAGACGATAAACCTTCGTCACACATTACAATATAGTAACGATGATTCCAAGCTGAATTATTATAAACGTCATTTAAAAGCATTTGTTCGGTGAATGCCAACTCTTTTTCAACAGGCACTTTGAAAAAAGTTATAATCCACCGACGGTGCTGCCATGCATGATAATTTTTAGGATCATCTGAAATGACAGATCCAACGAAATCCAATTCCTCTGAACTAAGATGTGTTATAAAGCTGGAGTCATTTTGATTCTGTTGCGATACTTTCTCGATAACCCATTGTCGATGATGCCATAACTAAACAATAAAGAAGTAAAAATGTATCAGTCAGTCAGGTACAACGTAGGACCAGGCACATATATGCATCGGTCCGATTTCCCACACCTCACTAGTACAGCAAGATGAGCAGCAAATTCATAGAAGCAGTTACTTCAATTGTAGTAATATATAAAAGTAAGGTTTCTATATAGGATATAGTACAGGAAGAAAGAATTAGTTGGCAGAAAGATATAAAGCAATTTTAATCTCATAGTTTAAAGGAAGACGGAGAGTGTATACACCTACGCCACTGTGATCGATCCTGAGCCATGTCACCCAGTCTCCAAACATTGGTTACGATAGTTGCGCGGGCCCCAACCAAGTGGTCTCAATCTACTGACACGGCTCAGACCAGAAGATAGTGAATTTATAGACTGATGTCACGTTTTGGTTTGGCCGTCCTCGAACTTTCTTCCAACCAGATTACGTTGTCTCATTTATGTTTGATTTCAATTAAAAAATTATAATGATAGATGATTATTAATAGGATTAATAGTCCGAAATAGCTAGAAAACGAAACATGTCTTGGATAAAACTATTTTCTCATATTTTAATAAATATCAAAATAATGATCTTGGTATAGAGTTAAGAACAGATAATGGTTATAAGTAACTCCTTCCGCAACACTCTAGGGTTGATGCTGGTCTCAAACCCGGGTAATCAATGAGGGTTGGGGCCAGGATTAGCGACATTATCTAGGAAAAAAATAACTCACTGAAGAAAGCTAACCAGAATAAACCAATTAATCCATTTAAACTCGGTACTGGGGGTTAAAGAGTCTTCATGTAGAAAATTTATGACGTCTCATAGTGATAGCCAAGATTCGGTGGAAGTCATGAAAATGATGTTCTCTCTGAAATTATTTATCTATTTATTTAAACACATATATATTGGTACAAAAGGGCACCAGATACATATGCGCCACACAAAAGAATGAAAGTAGGAAGAGAAGGGATGAAAAGATAAGGCGGACTGAAATGTACAACCAGAAGACTCTTTCAGTTAAGAAAGTAAGAACCACTGTTTATGTAGAAAGTAAAAGAAGGTTACAGAAGGATCGCCACTAGCTTCTATTCTGAGCCATATCCGATAACGTCTCTAGCCACTGTGTTGCACCATCTCTCGGACCCCAGCCAGGGAGTCGTGAAGGACCAACAGAAGTCAGCCCTTTGCAGCTTTCTTTCATGCCACGACACCATGTCATACACTGACCTCCTCTCCGCCTTTTACAACCAGTCCCAGAGTCGGCAAATAATGCACGACGTGGAAGTCTCTGGGACGACATTCGTAAAACATGTCCAATCCACCGAAGTCGGTGTTTCAAGATGGTGACACCAATGGGATTATCGTCTCTGTGCCCGAACACTCGATGCCGAACCTCTGCATTACTAACATGGTGTTGCCACTGGATGTCAGCAATCCTTCGGAGACAACGATGATCAAACACAGAGAGACGTCTAACATCCTCAACTCGGAGTGGTTAGGTTTCACAAGCATAGAGCAAAACTGCTCTCACCGACGCGTTGTAGATCCGACCTTTTACAGCCAGACTAACATCACGAAGGCGCCAAAGATGGCCCAGATTGGCATAAGCCGCTCTGGCTTTCATTATACGTGCATCAATCTCATCACTCACGCCACCACCAGCACTTATATAGCTACCTAGATACACGAACTTCTCAACTACTTCAATCTGCTCACCACCCAGGGTGAGTACAGGATGAGAATCCTGCCAGTCTTGTAGAAGTACTTTGCACTTGGAGGGTGCAAAGCACATGCTGTACCTGTGGACACTGATTGCCAACTGATTAAGTGCGGATTGCATGCCTTGGGCATTATCGCACAGTAAGACAATATCATCCGCATACTCAAGGTCGAGAAGTCGTTCTCCAGGCAACAGATCCACACCGCCATTACTTACATCCATCAGAGCTGTTTCCAGGATGTCGTCGATGGCAAAGTTGAAGAGGAATGGGGAGATCGGGCAACCCTGCCTAACCCCACTGCTCGAATGGAACAAGGGAGAAAGGTGGTTGTATGCCCTCACTCTGCCTGAGGTGTTCGTATACAGGGCCTTTAAGATGTTAATGAACTTCTCAGGCACACCCTTCTTCAATAGACAATCCCAGAGAACAGTCCTGTCCAACGAATCGAAGGCCGCCCTGATATCAAGAAACACTACGATTGTTGGCCTGCGATAAGTATGACGGTGTTCTAGCATTTGGCGGAGGGTGAAGATGTGATCAATGCATCCTCGACCAGAACGAAAACCAGCCTGCTCCTCGCGAGTCAATCGTTCTCGGGTTTTAAACAACCTACGAAGAATGACAGAAGTCAATAGTTTGGACGCAGTCGGAAGTAGACTTATCCCCCGATAGTTATTGCAGGAACAACGTGAACCCTTTTTAAAGATAGGGACGACTATCGACTCATTCCATGATGTTGGAACACTTTCTTGCTCCCAAACCTTAGCAAACAACACCGTCAGTTCCTTAGCCAGAAAGTCACCACCATCTTTAAAAAGAGCCGGAGGTAAGTCATCTGGGCCAGATGATTTGTAGCGCTTCAAGAGTTGGAGTTCCTTGCGGACTTCTGCCTCATTTGGTGAAGCAGTCATCACCGGCCATAGAGGACAGGACAATCTGATCGATGTTGCCGGAGCAGCAGGCCAGTTGAACTGCCCTTCGAAAAATTCCGCCCATCGTCCAAGACGTCGAGAGATGTTAGTGATTGGCATCCCGTCATCCTCGTAGATTGTTTCACTCACACCAGACTTCTTACTGCCAGTGGCTCGGATGAGTTGGAAGAGCTTCCGGCAGTTACCAGATGCAGCTGCTGCTTCCATCTCATTAGCACGCTCCGACCACCAGGCTTCTCGGTCCTTACGCAAGCTTTGCCCGATTTCATTACGTAACAGCCTTCGTTTGTGGTCAAACACACATTCACACGGAGTAGACCGGCGGGCTTCGATGAGTTATAAGGAGCCAGAAGAAACCAGTGCTTGTAAGCGGGACGTTTCGTGAAGCCGCAAGCGACTTTACTCGCCATTCTCATGGCGTCATGCAGTTGCAACCAATGCTCATCTATACTTTTCGGTGGGATGGTAGCTGGCCTAGAAGCTAGCTCCGCTCGATACTTACTTGCAACAGAATTTGCAACCAATTTACTAAGATCAATCCGTTGATGACGGTAAATTTGTCGGCCACTGAAAAGTAAGGTAAGATTGGCGCAGACCAGGGCATGATCAGAGTCCAGATAGATACTCACAAAGGAGCGGCAGTCTTGTACACAGCCACGCCAGCGGTAGCTTTTCGCAATGTGATTAACCTGAGTCCAGGTATGAGATGCAGAGGGAGGATGCTAGCTGGCACATCGGCGATGACTGTACCGGAAGTTAGTGCTAGTCAGAAACAGGTTGTGGGCTGTGCACAGTTGCAGTAGACAGTCTCCTTTATCGGTCCTGTGACCAACAATTCCCCGTCGGCCACCTAAACGACTCTCTTCTGTGCCTAGATGCCCGACCTGTGCATTCAAGTCTCCAGCTAGTACTACAATATCTGTCGAACGCACTTTCTGGAGAACTGTTAACTGATGGTAAAACTCATCCTTGATTGCATCCGGGCTGCAATCTGTCGGGGCATAGGCGGAGATGACGAAAAGACACCGTTTCTCACGCCGATTTCTTCTCACTTTGATGGAACTTTCTAATCTAACAGCACATAACCGACTGTTAATGGGGATCCAATCGATTAGTGTTGTCTCAGCCCTAGCGCTTAGTGCGACACCAACGCCTGCAAGACCAGACGAAGATGCCACAGAGTCCCCGTATAAGCGCACGTGAAACAAGCTTTTCGAAGCGACAAATGGATAGCGAATTTGTAGTACTTTACTAGAGTTTTGAATACAGGTCTCGGATAGACAGCAAACATCAACATTAAGACTTTCTAAAGACATAGCCAGCCCCATCTGTTGTCCGATGTACATTAGTGTGCGAACGTTGAAGGAGGCCAGCTTGAACGGCGTACGTGGTTTCAGAAAGACTGCTTCAGTATTCGTAATCGGTGGAAACATTCACTTTCAACCAGACAGTGACTGGAGATCGTTTAGATAGGACAGAGTTTCCACCATGGACGAGCTACTGCATAAGTTGGAAAGGAAAGATATACAATTTGGGAATAAAGGGAGTGAAAAAGCGACGTAGTAAATAATAATAATAATAATAATAATAATAATAATAATAATAATAATAATAATAATAATAATAATAATAATAATGGTAATAATAATAATAGTGTAAATTGTCTTGCTTCTAATATGAGCGAGAATAGTATCGTCAATAGAATTCATCATTTCATTTATTTGTGTGTGGGCTGTGATACTGCCCGGGTGCCCAAACCGAAGCAGGTGGTTTTCTTAGGGGGCCACACCCCGAGTCTTTGACCTAAAGGTCTGATCCACAAGGCAGTGGAGCATCGTAAGGAGATGCAGTCCCATGGTAGCCGTTGACCAACAATAGGTTCATTCGCCATTCGTTCCATCAGGATACTGGAGCCCATGTGCACTATTGGTTTGGAATCAGGGTTTACCAACTCCCCTAGGTGGACCCTCCATGTCCACCAACACGGTTAAAGCGCCGGACGTTCGCTTTTCGTCCTCTCACTTTCGTAAACAACACCCCCGCCACGAGAAGGCAGTGAGCAGGACTTCCCTGGCAGAGGCTATATATTCGCTGGCCATATGAGAGCATTTCGAGAGGGAGAGTGGACTCTCCCCACTCTCGGCCGTACCAGGGCATTTGGGGGCGAAAACCTGGAAGCACTGGACGGCCGTTTCGTCCTATTACGGGACTCCTCAGCAGTGCGCATCCACGACCCCGCACCCGCGAGATTTGAACCCAGGACCTACCAGTCTCGAGCCGAAGCCCTTAACCGATAGACCACTGAGCCGGCGACCATACCACGTTGAAAGCACCAGAGCAACAATACAAATAGGTACATGGAATGTCCGGACAATGTAGAAGGACCTGGAGAGTTATTCAAGTAGAGGAAAAAGTGAGAGAATTTTATCTGGTTGCGATAAGAATAAGTGGAACCCATTGTACACAATCTGAAAAAGATTAACTTCACGGGAGCTGTTGTTCTGTTCTGGTTATGAGGGAGAAAGTGCCTGACCTACATAAGGAGCTGTACTGATGCTATCCAATGAAGCACGAAAGTCGCTTATAGGATGAGATACCCATAGTTCCAGGATCATCAAAACATTCTACTAAACAAAAGAAGGAACTACAATGCATGTCATACAGCGCTACACAACCATTAATGATAACAAAAAAGATAATAAAGACCACATTTATTAGAGGCTGCAGTCTATTCTAAGGAAATGCCCAGAGAAACGCCAAGTCATCATGATGGATGACTTGAACGTCAGAGTCGGAAATGATAACACTAGGAACAAATACATTGTAGGGCGACATGGACTAGGAAAAAGGAACGAGAATGGTGAGCGAGTGACGAATCAATATGCTTGTAACAAAACGGCTGAAGGTGGCACCATTCCCCCCTCCCACAAACACATACTTAAAGATATATGGGTTGACTTGATTACACTATAAAAGCCAGGTTGATCATATTCACATAAAAAAGGTTTCAGAAGGTCCATGGAGAACGTAAGAACAAGGAAAGGAGTCAACAAAGCTTCAGATCACTACCTGGTGGCGGCCAAGCTGCAGAAGAATTAGAGAATGAAACAAGCGGCACTACGGACGTTTAACACAGACTTCCTTTGGGTTATTGACAAGCTCAGTAAGTTCAACAAAGTGTTCTGCGGCAAGTCCCAAGCCTTACAATATCTGCTAAAAGGAAAAACGAAACAGGAGTGAGAAATTAGCAGGATCTCAAAACATATCAGCTGAAGTACTTAAGTCAGACACAGAAGTAACTGCAAAGATGCTTGGCTTTCTATTGCGGAAGATCTGGGAGAGCAACAAGTGCCGAAACACTGGAAAGAAGAATGTCTCGTAAGAAAACCAAAGAAGGGAGACCTTAGCAAGTGTGATAACTACATAAGCACCATACTACTGTCAATGCCAGGCAAAGCTTTCAACGGTGTTGTTGAACGGAGTGGGAAATTCAGTAGACACCCAACTTTGAGATAAACAAACTAGCTTTTATAAGGATCGATCATGCACCAACCAAATCGCAACAACACGGATTATTGTTGAACAGTCAATTGAATGGAACTCATTGTTATACATCAACTTTCTTGATTTGAAAAAGCATTCGACAAAGTAGATAGAATTACCTTTGGAATTCTCTTCGATACTATGGAGTACCTTGGAAAGTCTTCATCACCATAAAAATGCCGTATAATGAACTGCATTGTAAAGCCATACATGGAGAACAGCTCGCAAATACATTCCAAGTGATAACTGGAGCCAGACAAAGCTTAATGCTCTGGCTTTTTCTCGATCTCCTGGTTGTTGACTGCGTTGTGAAGACTTCCACATCTCAGGAACAGCATGGTATACAGTGGACACCTTGGACACAGCTGGATGACTTTTTATATTACTTAGCCCTTCTATCATATACAAGAAAACATGCATAAAACAGCTAGTATAGCAGTGAGCCTTAACATTAACAAGCTGAAAAGCAAGATTCTGAAGAACAACTCAATTAACATCAACCGAACCACACTTGATAGCAAAGCTCTGGAAGAGATGGAGGTCCTCACGTACCTGAGCGACATCATTCATAAACAAGGGAGATCTAACGCACATATGGAAGCACGAAACTTCAAAGCAATGACAGCATTCCCACAATTGAAGAACACATGGAACTCAAAAATAACTCTCAGCCAACATCAAGGTCAAAGTCTTCAATACAATAATCACCACAGTTCTACTGTATAGAGCTGAAACTTGATGAACTACTACAATCATCATCAACAAGTACAAATATCTATAAACGACTGACCATGCATGATAGTCTATTCCCACTAGCCAGAGACCATAGGCAACAATCTACTCTGGTAAGTAACAAATAAATTTCCAAGTGAGGAAGTGGTAAGAAACGATGCTGGAGGTGGATAGAATACCATGGAAATTGTCAGATCTTCCAATTTTTTATGGTAAACTTATTGCTATGGGGTACTGATTAAAGTGTAGTATAGAAAATATCACCAATTCAGGTTATAGGAAGTTAAACAACTGCATCAACGCATCATAGTCACAAGAATTAAGGTTTTAATGCCACAGTATTACTTGAAAAGACTCGACCATTGTTTGTAGATACATTTAGATATATTTTCGAAACACTTAACTACCATCAAGAACGAAAAGAATGTATGGAGTGAATTAAGGAAAATTTTTTTTCATTTCAACCGAAAACCTAAAATCCTGCTGTCGATGAAGAAAATTTGTAATATGATTAGCAAGTAGTAATTATAATAGCCCATCCCAGAATGTTAATTAATTCCGTCATTATTCATAATAAGTTACGTTGTAACCTGGTCGAGTTAGAGCCTATGGCGAACTGTCATCAGAATTGGTTACCTCAAGTGGTGTTCGTCAGGGCTGTCCACTCTCTCCATTCCTGTATAACTTTGTCGTCGACATGCTTTTGGAGATAACACTTTTATCATCTAAATCTCCAGGAGTTGAACTTTTACCGGGAGGCTCACTTGTTGACTTAGAATACGCCGACGACATAGTTTTATTTGGTGAAGACGCTGATAAAACGCAGAGTCTTCTGACCACCATAAGCAACAATGCAGGCATGTTCGGGATGCGATTCTCTCCCTCGAAGTGCAAAATGTTACTTCAGGATTGGGTTGCATCGACACCTGAACTAATGATAGGGAGTGAAGTAGTTGAGCGTGTAGACCACTTCACTTATCTTGGGAGTCTCATCAGCCCTTGTGGTCTGGTGTGTGACGAAATCTCAGCACGAATACAGAAGGCTCGTCTAGCTTTCACCAACTTGCGTCATTTATGGCGTAGGCGAGATATCCGTCTAGCAACCAAAGGACGGGTTTACTGTGCAGCAGTCCGTTCCGTCCTACTTTATGGCAGTGAAACATGGCCAATAAGAGTAGAGGATATTCGTAGACTACTAGTATTCGATCATAGGTGTTTTCAAAACATTGATCGTATATCCTGGGACCATCGGGTAAGTAATGCAGGTCGATGGCAAATCGATTGATGAAGTAGTGAAACTTCATCAGTTGAGATGGCTGGGACATGTGTTACGTATGCCCAACCACCGACTGCCACGACGTGCAATGCTTTATAGTGTAGGAGCAGGTTCGAAGAAAGCTAGGGGCGGCCAGACCAAAACATGGCATAAATCCATGAAGTCACTGACAAGTGGACTGAGCCATGTTGGTAGGTGTAGACTACCTGGTTGGGATCTGCGAGATGATGGCAACCGATGGTTAGAGACCTTGAATGACATGGCTCAAAATCGTTTGCAATGGCGAAGGTGCATCCACTCTTTGTGTTCTCTCAAATTCTAATGTTCTAAATTGTTCATGTCCCTTTCTTTTTTTTCTCTTCCCAAATTTATTTCACTATATTATACTCCTTGAATAACATCTTCAAACCCTTATCTTTCACATAATACTTATACTCTTACTACTTCTACCAATATGGGATTTGAATCGACAACTTCATCTATGTGCTAATGTGGTATGGCAACTCGAACTGATGTACGTACGTATGAAGTTCTACGTTGTAACTGACTGACTGACCATGTGCTTCAGTTTGAGCACCCGGGCAGTATCCTAACTCACACATAAATTAAATGGTGATTACAACCGAAAAAAAAAAAGCATCCTCAAATTATATCCACAGTTACTTGGTAACAGTCATTTTTACTCGACATCGTGTCACTTGTCTGTTCTATTTTATTCCCATTTTGTGTATTCTTTTATTTTTTTAACTGGCACAGAAGCAAGCCTGTGATAGCTAGGACATTTTCAGTCTAAATCCAAGTAACAGGTTTAGGAATTATTTACTGTGATTTAAGAACGGCAAAAGAGATAGGAACAGGTAATGAATCGAATAACAGATTACAATTAAGACAATATCAAAAACTAAATTTTTAATAAATACTCACTAGAAATCTATCTACTAAACACCCCAGAGAATACCCTCCAAAATTCCACATTTTCATTTATTGGCCCCTTGTGACAATTAGGATGCCAAATTGAGATAAAACTAGTTTATGATGAAATAATTACGACTTTTATAGCTTCTAAGCATCATCGTGTAAGTGATTTATAATCTTTATCTAGTTAAATTTTACCATTTGATGACCTTGAGAATTTTGTTTCTTATTTTATTTAAGGAACTTAGTCAAAAACTCAATTTCACAAAAGCTATTGATGGCTTGTATTTCGTGGGAAATCTTTCTTAGTATATATGTAACGGTTTGCCACTTGCATTCCTAGTGACATAGAGTATACTGCATATTTGAAGTGTATGAAACGATGATTGCATAAAATATATAGCTTCCTACCCTGTTTCTCCATTTAAATGCTTCCTCATCATTTAGTCGATCAAAGGCAGATTTTCACAACGTGATTAGTACTATTATATTATTCGCAATTAGAGCGCTCACCTGGTAATTTTTTGAATAGTCTTCAATAAGCTCACCAACGAAACGCAGCTCACCATTTAGGTCAGATGAAATTTCCTCGATGATCCGTCTTCTGTACTCCCAAGCTGTGTAGTTGGCGGGATTAAACAATAAAATGTCAGAGGTTAGTGAAAATGTCCGCTCACTACGCTCGTCCTTCATTAGGGCTGCACGAAAATAGTCATGTGCATCAACAAATTCTTCAGAATATGCAATATTTACAATGTTCCGACCTCCATCATCCTGAGGAATTGGACTAACGTCATCCCATTCTTGTCTATCTTTGTAGAATACATACTTTTCACGAGTACTCATAGGTTGCAGAAGAATAACTGCAAAACAAAGTAATTACAAGTTCGCCAAAAGTCAGAGATTTATTTGCATAAAAATAGTGATAAAAAAGATATATAACGTCCAAATAATAGAAACACAGTCGAGAGTGCAATTAATAATAGTCAACTTATAAAACTTTGAAACGCATCGCACTGAACATGTGAGAATGAACTTTTTATAACTATTATAAAAGACAGTAGAAACATGAGGTTTAACTTGTCTGAATTACGTTATAGAATTAATTCAATCGATCATCCATAAAACTTTATAAATACGATTATTTACGTGTTTGTGATCGAGTTTTATTTAGGTTAATAACACAATATGAATAAAGTGTTTTGATGAAGGGTGGCAACTTGATGTTTTTTAATATCCAGGTTTATAGCAAGAGTAATTCATATGTTGTAGGTAACATCAGTGAATAAACACCTATGGTAACAAACGCACAACATTCAGATAAAATGTTAAGATCTGTTTCGTCAGTTTACAGCTACGTAAATTTCATACGTCTACTTAAACCTTTATTACCCATACAGCGCACTGTAAAGTGACGCTTTCGGGGAGAGTCAACTAAGTACAGAGATACAGTAATCCTGTCTACCTTGAGCAAACAATGCCGTCTGAAATTTTGTAAGCGAACGTTAAGATTCTGACAGGTCGATCATATATCGAGTAACTATTTTTGTAACCTAGCCTACACCAGACTAAACATGATGAGGTCTTGAGGTTACAGACCAAGAGTGATTATTGTTACTGTCAAGAAAAGAAACTAAGAAGTACTAATAACAGAAGAATCAGTGACAGTAACCTCATAATTAAATTGTCTAGTTTTTAGCTATGTATGTGAGTAGCAATTTACGACACTCAAATCCGGTCGGAATCCAGTTTTTCCCGAAACATGTTACGATATAGATGAGTATATTTTGCATTGTTTAAAGTTAGGATTTCGAAAACCGCTGATATGAGAAACTGATTTTTAGGGAAGAAACACAACAATAAACCTACCATTTTTATGGAGAAAAGCCCCATAGCTTGTGCTACTATTCCGTTAAAAAGAAATATAATAAAGTCTAATGTTGGTGGAGGGAACATTACTGTCAGTGAGCAACCGTCATACAGTAACATTGCAAGCAATTACAAGGTTTCAGTAGTTTCAGAGTCAAAAAAAGACAATGAATGACGAATCAGGTACTTATTTGTAGTTTTTCATTAGTGTTTATGGTCGCAATTAAACAACTAACTCTTTTGATAACGAAGCGTACTTTAATAGTCTGTATCTACAACCACACCTTCACCTGCAGCTCTTCCAGGGTTACTGTCGGTCTCATAACAAGATAAAGGAGGAGGGTTGAGTATGGGGTCGGCAACCCCAACCCGTAGAAAATAACCTTTCTAAAAAACACTAGCTAAAATAAACTCTCCCCTCAGAGTTGAGGGATCTTCATTCAGAAGAATTATAACGTCTCATGTTGAAAGACAGAATTCTTCGGAAGCCAGGAGGTCGATGTTCCTTATAACAACCACAACAACAATCAATATAGGCACATCAAATGTCCGGACAATGTGAGAAACTGGGAGGAACAGTCAAATAGCTGGAGAAACGAAAAGATGCAAATTGGTGGTTCTCGGAATCAGTGAAACACATTGGACCCAAGCTGGACAGAAAAATATGAATTCAGGAGAGATGATGCTATACACGGGTTACGAAGAGGAAACTGCTCCGCACACTCAGGGGTTTGCTCTGATGCTGTCCAAAGAAGCACAGAAAGCACTTATAGGATGGGAATTTCATGGACCCAGTATCGTCAAAGCATACTTCAAAACAAAGGAGGAAATCACAATGAATTTTATTCAATGTTGTGCACCCACCAATGATAGCAATCAGGACTGTAAAAGTCAGTTTTACGTGCAGCTGCAATCGATCATAGCGAAATGTTCAGGAAAGGACCTGACCATCCTGATGGGAGAATTAAACACGAAAGTCAGAATGGACAACACCGGATATGAAGATATCATGGGGCAACATGAACTGGGAGAAAGGAAAGAGAATGGTGACAGATCTGTAAATTCATGTACATTCAACAAATTGATTATGGACGTCACAATATTCCTTAACAAAAGCATGCACAAAGCGACATGGGTCTCACCGGATCACTCTACAAAGAACCAGATCGATCATATTTGTATCACTAAAAAATTCAGAAGGTCAATGGAAGTCGTGAGAACCAAGAGAGGAGCTGACATGGTTTCAGATCACGACCTGGTGATTGCCAAGATGAAAACGAAGCTAAAGAAACACTGGACAACTGGAGACACAGCAGTACAAAGTTTCAATACAGCCTTCCTGCAAGATACTGACAAACTCAATGAATTGAAGATAACTTTGAGCAGCAGGTTCCAAGCCTTACAGAATGTACTGAAAGAAGAAGAAACTACGATGGAGGACAACTGGAATGTGACCAAAGAAGCATTAACTTCAACGTGTCAGGAGGTGTTGGGCCGCAAGGAGCATCATCATAAGAATGGATCTCCATCGGGACACTGGACAGGATTCAAGAAAGGAAGAACAAGAAGACAGCTATTGACAATAGCTGAACAAGAACAGAGAAAGTCAAGGCACAGACCGAACACACAGAAACAAAGAAGAGAGCGTACAGGAGCATTAGAGCTGACGAGCAGAAATACGTGGAAGACCTAGCAGTGACAGTGGAAAAAGCTGCAAGAGAAGGAAATATGCGACAACTACATGATTCAACGGAGAAACCAGCGGGAAAGCATAGTAAACAAGGGCAGGCATTCAATAGCAGAGGAACAGATGGGTAGAATGCTTCGAGGAACTCTTGAATAGGCCAGCTCCATCGAATCCACGAGACATCGAGGCAGCACCTATAGACCTTCTTATAGATTTCACTTTACCAACGATCGAAGAAATCAGGATGGTCATCAGACAAGTCAAGAGTGGGAAGGCAGCAGGATCTGACAATATACCAACCGAAGCACTGAAGTCAGACATAGAAGCAACTGCAAACATGCTCCACGTTCTATTCAGCAAGATTTGGGGGCAAGAACAAGTGCCGACAGACTGGAAAAAAGGATATCTCATCAAGATACCAACGAAAGGAGATCTGAGCAAATGTGAGGACTACAGAGGCATCACACTACTATCAGTACCAGGGAAAGTTTCAACAGACTGTTGCTGAACCGGGTGAAAGATTCAGTAGACTCCCAACTTCGAGGTCAACAATCCGGATTCCGTAGGGATCGGTCGTGCACAGACCGAATTTCGGTACTATGGATCATCGTTGAACAACCGGTTGAATGAAACTCATCACTATACGTCAACTTCATTGACTATGAGCAATTGTTTGACGGTGTGGATATAAGAACCTTATGGAACTGTCTTCGACACTATGGTGTACCTGGGAAGGTCGTAAATATCATACGGAATTCACACGACCGACTGCACCGCGAAGTTGTGTATGGAGGGCAGCTCACAGATCCATTCCAAGTGAAGACTAAAGTCAGACAGGGCTGCTTATTTTCCGCCTTCCTTTCTTTCCTGATGGTCTACTGGATTATGAAGACCTCGACATCAAAGGGGAAGCGCGAAATACAAAGGACAGGTTGGATGTGCTGCTAGACGATTGGGACTTCGCAGATGACCTAGTTCTTCTATCCCATACACAGCAATAAATGTAGGTGAAAACGGTCGGTGTGACAGCAGCCTCCAAAGTGGTAGGTCTCAACACACAACGGATAAAGCAAGATTCTGAAATACAACACAGTGAGCATTAATGAATTCACACTTGATAGCGAAGCTCTGGAAGAGGTGGATAGCTTTACGTACCCTGATAGAATCATTGATAAATAAGGGGGATCTGATGCAGATATAAGAGCATGAATTAGCAAAGCAAGGGTAACATTCCTAATGAGATCACTGATTTCTATCCCTCTTACTTGATAAGGAAAGTTGGAACAGGTGAACCCTTCAGATATTAAATTGAAGATGATTAGGTCAATGTTACATTCAAGGAACAATTAGTGAAACAATTCATTCTGAAAAATCTTGAAAAGATATGCAAACATCGACGATACCATTAACAGCGTGTACCAAAAGTTAGGAAAGATAAGTGGGTTTCAGTAACATTTACTGAATTGATTTAGGTGTAGAAGCTCGGAAAACGATGAAGACCGACGACAAATCAGACGAAAACTAATAAAAAGTGTGCTCAGTGACCGTGAGCAGTGGTGGTTAACGGAAACAAACAAGATGGAAAAGACAGTGGCTATAGACAACTTTTCAGACCTATGAAGGAAAAGGGTATTAAAACTCCGTTTGTTAGTGAGAATATCTTAGAAAAAGATGTGATTATCATTTACTCTCAAACCAGGAGATTGAATCGATGGGTAAAACACTTTAAGGAGTAATTCAACTGGCCTCCAGCTACTTTTCAACTACGCACCATCTCCAAACAACCTGAATGGCAAATATACATAATTTTCTCAACACAACACGGAGAACACCAACCCAATCACACTTGATGGAGAAGCCCTGGAGGAGGCGGAAACTTTCACGTACCTGGACAGCACCATCTATAAAAAAGGAGAACCCGATGTAGACGTAAACGAGAGGATTGGCAAAGCAAGGACATCATTTCTACAATTGAAGAACTTATGGAACTCAAAACAACTATCAGCTAACATCGGAGTCAGAATCTTCAATATGAACATCAAGACAGTTCTATTGTAAGGAGCTGGAATTTGGAGAACTACCGCGACCATCATCGAAGAAGCACAGATATTTGTAAACAATTGTCTACGCAAAATACTGAATGTCCGTTGGTTGAGTACCATCAGCAAAAGTCTACCGTGAGAGAGAACAAACCAACTTCCAGTTGAGGAGGAAATTAGGAAAAGATGCTGAAGGTGGATAGGCCGGAGAACACACTGCTCCGAGAATTGGAAGCAGACGTCAAAAATGAATAACAATCGGAAAAGATTTCCCAGGACAGAGTTCGGTTAAGAATGCTGGTGAGAGACCTACGCTCCTCTACGAGGGGTAACGGGCGTAAGTAAGTAGGAAATGTTCATCAAACTTCTTACTAACCCTTTCTTCTATTCTTAAACCGGTGACTCGATATACAATAATACCCATAGAAATTTAAGTATTTAATAGTGGAAAATAACACTTGAAATTAACAGCACTGTGAATGATTATCCTTCGTGTTTATTAGTATTATCCCAGAAATTAATGAAACCACACATTTTTCGGTCTGACAATCACGTCTGTTATTAATATTTGCGTAATTCTGTTCTGATATATTTTCAGTAACTGTTCATCATACAGTAGTCGGCATCATTTTATTTCGTTGATAACAATATAAACGAAATAGATTAAACCATTTAGGATATGTATCACTTTAATAGCAAAATTACTAATAAGCACACTTCCGTTTTTACTAATTTAATTTTATTCGGCTGTTATGTTTCATAACGAGAATAAACATGAAATCATGAATTCTGTCAACAGTTATTTACGTTGAATATTCTATGCACAGAATTAAAATATTCCAAAAATTTATTAAAATCCAGTAGTGGAAATTTTACTAAAGCTCACACTAGACACTAATATATTTAAGTCATGATATGAGATCTGTGTGAGACCATAGTTGAGACAGAAGTATTTTAAAGTCATTTTTGATCCTAATGAATAACTCTTAGCTTTGACTAAGTTGCTTAATATCTACTTTGGTACTAATTTATCTTACTACATTTAAGAGAATACACAAATTCAGGCTAATCTGGGCGGCGACTTGAAATCGTGAAGGGGAACAGAAAAGAGGAAGGCCAAAGAACACACTGATACGGGAATTGAAAGCAGATATTGGAGGGATGAATAGCAACTGGAAAGGATTTCGCAGTACAGAGTTTGATGGAGAATACTGAAGGGTGGCCTATGCTCCACTACGAGGGGCAACGGGCGTAAGTCAGTATCTAAAACCAAAACACCTTGGTTCTATGCAAGACTTGGTCATAGGACTAGCTAGTAAACCATGAGAACGGTGACATCTAGTTTTCGGACTCTTTTTGTTAAATACGAATGACCAAACAGTACTTTCACTCAGAGCTTGTAAAACGACATTTTTTGACTAGATAAAAGCTAGCCGAAAGGTTTTATGGAAACATTCAGGCAATCGGTGTTGTAACCATAGACTGATCGTTTAATGCTGATGAATATAGTTATGATGAGTGATGTAAGTTAAGGAACACTTAAAGGTGTTATGATTCTGCTCACATAATTATCTTAAGAGTTAGTATTGAATCAATTTCTTCATATTTTTTTTATTAGTTCTTGTGAGTAGGCTGTGATAATCCCTGAATCCCAGACCGAAGTAGATGGTTTCCTTAGTAAGTCATTCTTCAGTCTTCTGACCTAAAGGTTCAAGGTAGTGCAACTCAGTGACTTCAGACGTTATCAAATATGTCTCAGGGTACCAAAAAGACCATAAGAGGGAAATTAATGGAGAACAAAGTATTAATTTCGGGGAACTCTACTTTATCTCCATTGTTTGTGAATTTTGAGGAAATGTCTTAGTAAAGAGTAAATTTGTGGACACACCGGGTCAAAGTAGACCGGCTTCCAAATAAGCCAGGAGAAAAGGATAATACACTAAACACCTTGAGTGACTCATCAGTAAATAAAGAAACGCTGTCTAGTCATGAAATAATGAATAGTAGAAAGAAATAAAATAACAGTGGAATATCGGCTCTGGCTTGAAAAATTAAATATCACAGGCTAACTTGATCTTCATAATAGGGAAAAATGTGAGGTTAACATATCGGGAACCGGGGTAGTATTCTGGGTAAGAGTTACTACCCCATGGAGTTTTGATAATCATGAAGATACCACCTGTATCGTAGTTTGACAACGCCTTCAGTTAAACAAGTCCACTAAAACTAGTGTGGTCAGCATCCAATGTCGAAAACTTAAAAAGCTATTGATTTTGGGGAATTATTTACAGCTACAATCACATGGCGTCGGTTGTAATTTAGGAAGGTAAGGGTTGAGTAACAGAAAAGACTATAGTTTAGAGTTGGTTTTGCAAGTTATACTCGAGGTTTTCACCATGAACTGATCACTAATAATCCAGTCATTTCCAGTTTACAAAGGGACTTGGGATTGAGATTAACAGGACAAGTTGGAAAGAGAAATTATCTAGCTTCATAGAACACTCTTGACTACTTAATGACTCATATTAGGCACTTGAACGCATACGCTGTCCTAGGAACAGGCATGTTTTGTTACCAAGCTAAAGGACTGTCTAAAATTCACATTTCCGTTGCGTAACAGAAGCCTTTATTGATTTTGAGCATTTGCATGATCGGTTAGTCAGTTCCCACCAGCTCAGCAGTAGAATACAAGTCGTCTGTCGTGGAGGGGGTACTTGGGGAGAATGAACAGCGGCGTGAGAACCAGAAAAAAGAGCAGTAGGTGAGTTGACGACCAAGCAAGCACAAACAATGCATTTACACTTAATAATGAAAACAGTCGACATCGACCAGAAATAACACAAGCCCCATGATAAATTATCTTGGGATCGCAACTAGTAGCAGATAGTTTAACCCGCTACAGGTACGGCAAAAAAAGTCAGCTACAATTGTTGTAATTTGAGCTTCGCGCAAAATATACAAGACGTTAACTTAATTTTGATTGGTTAATCTAGTTACGACTTCGGTATGGAAAGAAGAGAGAATTGTGACCTGGGTTAGTCTTAGTAATGACAATCCTTCAGTTGATTCAACTTGCTCTTGATAGCATCAATAGATGGAGCTTCGACCGCGTGGTGAGTTAGTGGGTTCCATCCATTGATTCAAAATGGTTCAAATGGTTGAGGACGGAATAGAAGAAGCTTTCGCTTAACGGGCTTCCGTGTCTAGTAGCAGTGGATCACCAATACCTCCAGGCAATAACCTTAGTATAATAACGATAATAGAGGAAAAAAAGAAATTGGTAGATCCTAATAATGTTATCCTTAGTCCTTAAGAATAGGTTAAGTTTCCCCTCAAAGGACTCCTGGGAAGTCGCTTGGACCAGCTCAGTTGGCAGCGAATTCCAGCATTTGACAACTCTTACAGGGTAGTTGTGACTACAGTCTTTTCTGCTATGTTGGGTATCCAGTTTCTCGGTATTGCCCCCTAGGTTAGTATTGTGACTAAGCTTAAGTAGATGTTTATGGTGGTGACCATGAGTGTTAAGGATACTGTAAGTCATAAGAAGGTCACCTCTAAGACGCCTGTACTCTAAGGAGTAAAGGTTAAGTGATTGGAGGCGCTCTTCATAAGGCTTGGATGTGAGTCCCCAAACTGATTTCGTGGCTCGCCTTTGGATACGTTCCAGAGTGTTCTTATCCGTTTGGAGAGAGGGAGGAAATATTACGTTTCCATACTCTAAATGTGGAAGAATAAAACTGTTGAAGATTATGTGGGAAGTTCTATCCTCAAGCTGGCCAAAAATGCGCTTCAATGTTACCAGTGCAAGGTGTGCTGGAAAGGCGTTCTTGTCACATTTAGCGCACGACTTCAAGTCGTAGGGTATTAACATTCCCAAATCTTTTTTAACTTGAGATGCTTCTAGAGAGGAGTTTCCTAAGTTGTAACTATAGTCTGCAACATGTCGCAGATGGACTACTTTGCACTTTGGAGTGTTGAAGGTAAGTCCGTTGTCGTCTGCCGAACGTTGAATCGAGTCAGATCCTCCTGTAGTGCTAATCCTTTTGGTTACGTATCTCTCTCTCCACAGTTCCACATCATCAGCAAAAAGCAATAAGTCAGACGATATATTTTGTGGAAGATCGTTTATATAAATCAAGAAGAGAAGATGTCCTGGTATTGAGCCATGGGGGACCCCACTAGGACATTCCATAGCCTGAGAGAAAGTGAAGCTAACCCTGACCTTAAAATGTCGGTTTCCTAGGTATGAAGCGGTGTTATGCTTCTGCTCACATAATTATCTTAAGAGTTAGTATTGAATCAATTTCTTCATATTTTTTTTATTAGTTCTTGTGAGTAGGCTGTGATAATCCCTGAATCCCAGACCGAAGTAGATGGTTTCCTTAGTAAGTCATTCTTCAGTCTTCTGACCTAAAGGTTCAAGGTAGTGCAACTCAGTGACTTCAGACGTTATCAAATATGTCTCAGGGTACCAAAAAGACCATAAGAGGGAAATTAATGGAGAACAAAGTATTAATTTCGGGGAACTCTACTTTATCTCCATTGTTTGTGAATTTTGAGGAAATGTCTTAGTAAAGAGTAAATTTGTGGACACACCGGGTCAAAGTAGACCGGCTTCCAAATAAGCCAGGAGAAAAGGATAATACACTAAACACCTTGAGTGACTCATCAGTAAATAAAGAAACGCTGTCTAGTCATGAAATAATGAATAGTAGAAAGAAATAAAATAACAGTGGAATATCGGCTCTGGCTTGAAAAATTAAATATCACAGGCTAACTTGATCTTCATAATAGGGAAAAATGTGAGGTTAACATATCGGGAACCGGGGTAGTATTCTGGGTAAGAGTTACTACCCCATGGAGTTTTGATAATCATGAAGATACCACCTGTATCGTAGTTTGACAACGCCTTCAGTTAAACAAGTCCACTAAAACTAGTGTGGTCAGCATCCAATGTCGAAAACTTAAAAAGCTATTGATTTTGGGGAATTATTTACAGCTACAATCACATGGCGTCGGTTGTAATTTAGGAAGGTAAGGGTTGAGTAACAGAAAAGACTATAGTTTAGAGTTGGTTTTGCAAGTTATACTCGAGGTTTTCACCATGAACTGATCACTAATAATCCAGTCATTTCCAGTTTACAAAGGGACTTGGGATTGAGATTAACAGGACAAGTTGGAAAGAGAAATTATCTAGCTTCATAGAACACTCTTGACTACTTAATGACTCATATTAGGCACTTGAACGCATACGCTGTCCTAGGAACAGGCATGTTTTGTTACCAAGCTAAAGGACTGTCTAAAATTCACATTTCCGTTGCGTAACAGAAGCCTTTATTGATTTTGAGCATTTGCATGATCGGTTAGTCAGTTCCCACCAGCTCAGCAGTAGAATACAAGTCGTCTGTCGTGGAGGGGGTACTTGGGGAGAATGAACAGCGGCGTGAGAACCAGAAAAAAGAGCAGTAGGTGAGTTGACGACCAAGCAAGCACAAACAATGCATTTACACTTAATAATGAAAACAGTCGACATCGACCAGAAATAACACAAGCCCCATGATAAATTATCTTGGGATCGCAACTAGTAGCAGATAGTTTAACCCGCTACAGGTACGGCAAAAAAAGTCAGCTACAATTGTTGTAATTTGAGCTTCGCGCAAAATATACAAGACGTTAACTTAATTTTGATTGGTTAATCTAGTTACGACTTCGGTATGGAAAGAAGAGAGAATTGTGACCTGGGTTAGTCTTAGTAATGACAATCCTTCAGTTGATTCAACTTGCTCTTGATAGCATCAATAGATGGAGCTTCGACCGCGTGGTGAGTTAGTGGGTTCCATCCATTGATTCAAAATGGTTCAAATGGTTGAGGACGGAATAGAAGAAGCTTTCGCTTAACGGGCTTCCGTGTCTAGTAGCAGTGGATCACCAATACCTCCAGGCAATAACCTTAGTATAATAACGATAATAGAGGAAAAAAAGAAATTGGTAGATCCTAATAATGTTATCCTTAGTCCTTAAGAATAGGTTAAGTTTCCCCTCAAAGGACTCCTGGGAAGTCGCTTGGACCAGCTCAGTTGGCAGCGAATTCCAGCATTTGACAACTCTTACAGGGTAGTTGTGACTACAGTCTTTTCTGCTATGTTGGGTATCCAGTTTCTCGGTATTGCCCCCTAGGTTAGTATTGTGACTAAGCTTAAGTAGATGTTTATGGTGGTGACCATGAGTGTTAAGGATACTGTAAGTCATAAGAAGGTCACCTCTAAGACGCCTGTACTCTAAGGAGTAAAGGTTAAGTGATTGGAGGCGCTCTTCATAAGGCTTGGATGTGAGTCCCCAAACTGATTTCGTGGCTCGCCTTTGGATACGTTCCAGAGTGTTCTTATCCGTTTGGAGAGAGGGAGGAAATATTACGTTTCCATACTCTAAATGTGGAAGAATAAAACTGTTGAAGATTATGTGGGAAGTTCTATCCTCAAGCTGGCCAAAAATGCGCTTCAATGTTACCAGTGCAAGGTGTGCTGGAAAGGCGTTCTTGTCACATTTAGCGCACGACTTCAAGTCGTAGGGTATTAACATTCCCAAATCTTTTTTAACTTGAGATGCTTCTAGAGAGGAGTTTCCTAAGTTGTAACTATAGTCTGCAACATGTCGCAGATGGACTACTTTGCACTTTGGAGTGTTGAAGGTAAGTCCGTTGTCGTCTGCCGAACGTTGAATCGAGTCAGATCCTCCTGTAGTGCTAATCCTTTTGGTTACGTATCTCTCTCTCCACAGTTCCACATCATCAGCAAAAAGCAATAAGTCAGACGATATATTTTGTGGAAGATCGTTTATATAAATCAAGAAGAGAAGATGTCCTGGTATTGAGCCATGGGGGACCCCACTAGGACATTCCATAGCCTGAGAGAAAGTGAAGCTAACCCTGACCTTAAAATGTCGGTTTCCTAGGTATGAAGCGGTCCAGTTGATCAGAGGGGGTCTGATACTCAATCGTCTAAGCTTATTGGTTAGACATATGCGGTTGACCCTATCAAAAGCTTTTGAGAAGTCCAGGTAGATGACGTCAACTTTCCCCTTGCGATCAAGGATGGTTGTCCATCTATCCACCGCAGTCAGCAGGTTGGTCATACAAGAATGACCTTTTCTGAAACCATGCTGTTGAGGCGAGAAGAACTTTGAGGATGATAAGTGTTCTAGTATGCCGTCGAATACTAGGGATTCCATAATTTTTGAAGGTATGGAGAGAAGGGCCACTGGTCGGTAGCTTGAGGGTTCACTGCGTCGACCTCCTTTGAAAATTGGTGTGATGTGGGCCAGCTTCCATATTTCCGGTAGTTTGCCTCTGCTTAGCGAGTGTGCAAACATCACGCTAAGTGGGGTTGCCAGGATTGAAGCTGCTTCCCTCAATACGGCGAAATGAACCATATCCGGACCAGGAGAAATGTCTTTTCTTAGATGCTGCAGTTTACGGAGCACCAGGTCAGCACTCAGGTCCACTTCGGAAAGTCCTGTAGAGGTGCAGGTGGAGCTTTTGTCAGTATGGTTTATGTGGGTCAGCTGGAATGTCCGGGAGTATTGTTCAGCCAAAAGATTAGCGACATCACTGTTGTGATTTGCCGGACCATTAGGATTTAGCAGTTGGGAAACTCCAGTTGTGCCTCGTCGAATAGAAGCTGCGTAACGGAAAGTCTATAACATTCTTTCAAGAGTAATTTGTTCCAGGTCTGTGAACTTTTTCGGAGTGTTCTCATTAACTCTCTGTTTTGGAAGACAAGAAAAGCGAGCGAATATCTGATACCAATATTTCATCAAGTATTTCAAAAACTGATCAAATCACCTCTAGTTCCCGTTTATGACAAGGAAAATAGGTTTAGTTTAGCCAGTCGAGCATCATACGGGAGCTTTGCAATCCTGGAAATTAGCTTAGTTGAAGTATTTTGAACCATCTCAACAGCTCGCTGTCTTTTTTAGGTTGGGACTAACTGCTTGTATGCAGTTCTCAAATTTGTGATGAACCGATATGTATACAAAGTCGAGGAAATTTTAGCATCAACCTAGCTAAAGGCCCTATGTATTGACCATACGGTTCTGAAACCTATACATATGTAGTTGCAAATGTAGTTTTCAAGCCTCGGCTTATGATTACTCTTAAGTCATTGTGTA